CAAATACGCAGGAGCCACACGCCTCCTGAAGTGTATCCAGTTGATTTTCCGATATTTTCCAAAACCTTCCCCAATGGAAGATGACAGCTGTTTGACAACCACGAGACAGACGCCGGGGGAAAAAAAAAAAAAAGGCAAATTGGACTGAGAAAGAGACGGAATGAGTGTGTGGCTACGCGGACGACTCCTATCCTAAATGCGCCCCTCGGCCAACATTTCAGAAAAGGAAAATCAGGCATGTCAGGGCTCAAGCCATCCCGTGAAAGCAGCCGAGGCCCGGCCAGTGAGTCCGTCACGTGGGTCCCCCAGCAGCCGGCCCACTCTAGGTGACACACGCTCGCCAAAATGCCACTTGCAAAGAACACGCATGGGTTTGGAAAGGGTCCCGTTCCTTAGCAGGATAGCCAATGTTATTTCTGACAGCGTCCGGGACCCTGGGCCACTCCCAGGCCTGTGATGGGAAGGTGACCACGGTCCCCGAGCTGCAGGGGGCCTACCTGGGGAACCAACGCCCAGACACAACATTGCATTCAAGGCCCCCAGGGCCCAGCACCCTGCTCACAGGGCATGAATAAGAGAACTCAGGTGGTCAGAAGGGACATCACAGGCGAGACTCTCACTCACGTCCGTCTGGAACCTCTGGGAGGCGCCGGGGGCCACGTCCCTCGGGCTTGGCTCCAGGAACAGAAGTAAAATGAGGGGGGCTCCACAGCCCTGCCTCTCTCTCACAGCATGCCCTGGGCTAGCTCTGTTTGGGGGCTGCAGCTACACCTGGCTCATGTTCCACGTTCAATAAAACCAAATAAGCAAGGATTTGGTGACCCCCACCCGGTGCCCCCATCCGGCAGGCCTTGGGCCCACCGGCCTCCAGCTGACAGCAGGCAGCTCTGTCTCAAAACTTGAGTTTCTGCTCAAACTAGGCCTCTTGGGTTCATGCTCACGGCGAGAGAGTTTTCTTTTGGGGAGGGAGTGGTGACAGACGGCCGTGTCTAGATAAAAAAAAAAAAGTATCATAAACCTTTTGGGGAGAAAAAAAATTAGGCATACACACATTTCCCTCCAACTTCAGCCGGGTGTTAAATTTTAGGATAAATGCAGCTACTTGTAAAGGAGTCGAAATGCCTTTTTTTTTTTTTTTCCCCCATTGGAAGCAAAATCCCAGCGTCTACACAGGTCCTACTTTTGTCATTCACAGCTGTTTAGAAGCAAAACTGCCCAATCCGGCCGAACTCGATAATGCCATTAACGTCTGGGGGAGAAAGTTGCGAGTGATTTAAAAACCCGACCCTGCTCTCTCTCTCGCTCTCTCTGTCATTTTAGAGCTTTTACTGAAATTTCAACCAGAAAGAAAAAAAAAAAAAGCTGAAGGGGCCTTTTGATTTGTCTAAAGACTTTCAGATGATACGAACAAGACCCGTTCAAGTGTGTCTATGTTTTAGCGCCAAGGTAGAAAGCGTTCCCTTTGCAGTAGGGAAGGAGAATTTTATTTTTATTTTTTTTCCTGGGGAAATGTACCCACGTCAGAGGTGAGGAAAGGAAACTGCCACCGGTGAATGTTCGAATGAGCAAAACCCCTTTTGGAAACGGTGATCAATGGGGCTCCGGCTGACGCCGGCTGGCTGGACCGCCCGTTGGGGGAAAACAGAGGGGTGGGCAAAGTGTCTGTGTCTGGCCGGCCCGGGGGACAAGGCAGGGACCCAGAGAGGCCCAGCAGCGCCTCCTGCCCCTCAGACACCCACACATCGCTCCAAACTCAGGTGCCCGACTGCAGACCCTGGGCCTTTGGTGACACCATGTCAAGCCACTGTCCCTTCCCATGTCAGCTGCTCTTTGGTGACTCAGAAAACCAAAGGAGAGGGAGAGAAAAAAAAGCAGGAGGTGGGGTCAAAAAGCTGAAAATCTTCCTATTTCTACAAAACATCACCTTAGAACTCACTGCCTGGAGGACTCTCCTGGCCCTGCCCGGCCCAGAAACAGCTCAGCCACCAAAGGTCACCTCCTGGCACCCCATCCTGCCCCGACACATGCCACACGCCCTATTTGCACCGCAGCCAGAGCCCCCTGAGCCCCCCTGTCTTTGTGGGCAGAGGGTCGCACCCCCCTCCCCAGGGGCCAGGCCCACAGCATGCAGGGAGACAGCGCCCTCGCAAGTCCGAAGCTGACCGGTCCAGAGCGCACGGCTATTTTTCTTTTAAAATCTATCGTATTTACAATATTGCACTTCACTGCATTTAATTGCATTTACTAGAGTTAATAGTGCCCCGGGTCGTAGGCGTTACAACCCCGCGCGAGCGAGCGCGCGCGCGCCTGCGCCCCTGGGTCCTTTGGCGAGTCCCTGGCGCGTCTGAATTCGGTGAAACTGCAAAGAATGTCCGTTAGGGAATCAGAGACTGGAAAAGTTACACGGTGGCCTCTTGTATGGCACAAGGAATCCTAAACTCGGCGCTGGGGGTGGACCCAACCTGAACAGGAAAAAGCCTGGCTCGCAATTCAGGTCCCCAGCGCGGTCACCACTTGGGAGACTCAGGTCCTCCTCGCGCCCATCCTGGCGAGGCCACCGGATGCTTTGTGTTATTGCTGCCTTTGGGGGCAGGGCTGGGGGGCGGAGAGCAGGGCCCCTGCCTCGGATGTCTCGGTCCGCGCTAAAATCCACACGGGTCCCGCGGCTCCCCGGATAGAGGCTAGTTCGTGGCCGAGAATAGGACCGTTGGAGACCAAGAATCGGCATCTTCAGCAGAGACCAGCCCCAGACTTTTGTGTCATAGGCTCTAGGATCTTCGAAAGGTGTGGAGGAGACCGCATGCACGGGGTAGAGGCGCGGCAGAAGAGAAGCGGTGCGCAGGGCTCCACGTGGCCCCGGGTCCTAGGACGCGCAGATTACGCGCGGTCCAGGGCTGGGCTGGGTGCCGTCATCGTCACCTGATCTCTCTCCTGCACAGTTTCTGCGAGGGTCTGGCGGGGTCGTGCGTTCCCGGGAGGCCCCCTTCCCCAGGCCAAACGTGGGCCCCCTGGCTGCTGCGCCAGGCGAGGAGGCTGCTGCGCCAGGTCCGGAGCCCTGGCTCCCGGGCGTCCGTGTGGCCGAGGGGGGCGCGGAGGGGTCGAGTGCAGGACGCAGCGCGGGCGGGGTGCGGGGCTGGGGCAGGCGCCGGGGCGCGCGGCGGGTCAGAGCCCCA